TAGTTTATTTTTATAGAGATGAGGTCTCACTCTGTTGCCCATGCTGGTTTCAAACTCCTGGGCTCCACTGATCCTCCTGCTTCCGCCTCCCAAAGTGCTGGGCTTACAGGTGTGAGCCGCCGTACCCAGCCTCCAGAAGCGCTGGGCGTACAGGTGTGAGCCGCGTGCCCGGCCTTCTTTGCAGAGTATTATGATTGGAATTTCCAGGTAGACAATCTTGTATCTGAAAATGACTCTTTGTAAAAATTTAGAGATAATCTTTTTTCCTTTTATATTGTGTTGCCCAGGAGGTTGAGAATAACAGTAAACAACGGCAGACTTCCTGGGTGTTTCCAACTTTCATGTCTCAGTTGTTTCTCAGAGGAGGATGCCCTTGGCTTTTTCTCTCAATAGTATCCATCAGGCTCAGCAGTATCTACTCTTCAGTCATCACTAAAAACTGTTAGTAGGTATACATCTTTTTTTTGAATGGAAACTTGTTAAAAGAGGTGAAATATATAGTGGTCTGCCAAACGTATTTATTTCTTGAGACAGGGTCTTGCTGTCTCGCCCAGCCTGGAGTGAGGCAATGCAATCATGGCTCATTGCATCGACTTCCTGGCTCCAGTGATCCTTCTGCTCAGCCTCCCGAGTAGCTGGGACCACAGGCATGCGCCACCACGCCTGGCTAATTGTATTTTTGGTAGAGACAGTGTTTTGCCATGTTGCCCAGGCTGCTCTTGAACTTCTGACCTCAAGTGATCCACCTGCCTTGGCCTCCCAAAGTGCTGGGATTACAGGTGTGAGCCCACTGCCAAACTTTATACATTTATTCAACAGACATTTGGTTTACCATGTGCCCAGAACAGTGATAGGCGACCAGGTAAAGATTTAAATAAAACTCACATAATCTCTGCCCTCGAAAGTTTATAGTCCATGTAGGAAAGTTTTAAATACAACTAAATTGTAATTATGTTAAATGTGGTGAATCAAAGTAACACAGGCCGGGGTAGTGGTGTAGGCCTGTAATCCCAATACTTTGGGAGGCTGAGATGGGGGGTCCTTTGATCCCCCTACTGCACTTCAGCTGGGGCAACTGAGCAAGAATCTGTCTCAAAAAAAAAAAAAAAAAAAAAAAAAAAAAAA